CCACCACAGCCTCGCCTGCTGGGCTCCAGCGATCCTTCCGTCTCAGCCTTCGAGTAGCCAGAATTACAGGCGTGCGCTACCACGCCCGGCTGATTTTTTTATTTATTGTAGAGATGAGGTCTCGCTGCCCAGGCGGGTCTCGAACCCGCGGGCTCAGGCAATCCACTCACCTCAGCCTCTCAAAGGTCCGGGATTACAGGCTGAGCCACCGAGCCCGGCTGCGGATTCTTTTTCCTAAAAGTTTTTTTGATCCCTCTCATTCTTCAATTTTAGAGTCTTGGAATCTTCTGAATATTATTTCTCCTTTTCTGCCGTATTTTTTCACAGGCGTATTTACTCAAGCAAAGCAAACTCTGCTCAGATTTGGCATCTGTCAGCTGTTGGGAGATTGGTTAGCTCACCTGGGAGGCGCCAGGCGCCTCAGCTACTGCATGGGCTGGCCAGTGCACCCAGTTCCTGGCCGACTGCCTCAAGCAGGCTTGCACCTCGTGTTCTTTGCTCTTAAGCTTCCTCACATTTACTCAACGTTCAATAATCACATTGTAATAATCTACTGTTATTGCAGTTGGTTAAGATAAGGCCTATCCTCCAGAAGCTGACTGACTCGTGGGAGTGATAAATATATTATTACCCTCGGTGCTTCTGGAAGCCTGGGAAAAAAATAGGATACACTAGGAAGTGTCTGTCTGCAAAGGAACAGCTTCACAGCAGCCGCACCTTGTGAACTGAATCTTGAAAGGAACCTCATGCCGGAAGCTGAGTATCATGGGAAGAATGGACCACACCACAGGGCTTGAAAGTACTACTTTGAGGCCAGAGGCCTCAGGGCAGTGCAACAAGTTTCCAATCATAGTGGTCTTTGTATGCCAGGCATACAAAGGGGGACTTATTCTGAAGGCAAGACGAAGACTTGGCATGGTCAAAGGTGTTTTAAAAACCTCTCTAGCCGGGCTCGGTGGCTCAGCTTGTAGTCCCAGCGCTTTGGGAGGCTGAGGTGTATGGATTGCCTGAGCCTGCGGGTCCGAGACCCGCCTGGGCAACTTGGCGAGACCTCATCTCTACAAGAAATCAAAAATTAGCCGGGCGTGGTAGCGCGCACCTGTAGTTCCAGCTACTTGGAAGGCTGAGGTGGAAGGATCGCCAGAGCCCAGCAGGTCGAGGCTGTGGTGGCCGGGATCGGCCACTGCACTCCAGTCTGGGCGACAGAGTGAGACTCCAACTCAAAAACAAACAAACAAACAAAACCTCTCTGGCAGTAAAGTGGGAGGATGTAGGGAGGCCATTTCCATCCGTCTATTTTGGTATCACTCAGATGTCTGTCCAGATCTCCTGCCATCTGCTACCCCACTGTTCTTCCTACACTGACTGGTTTATGTCACATGCCACTGTAATTGGTCTGAGAGAGCACACGGCCATACTAGTGGGGTCCATGGAGTCACTGGGCTCTACCTGTCTTCTCCACCTAGGGTTCCTCACCACAGTGCTCCCAGGGAGACAAGTCTTATCTTTTCAGACTCACTTTAGGCTGAAACTTGTTAGGAATAAGAAACTAGACTGCTGACCTACAGGACTACACCCATCTATGGCTCCTTCACCTCACCATGGTTAGAAGATGGGAGTACATGGGTGAATAGGGCCACTGAGGTTAGAATACATTTTTTAAAAATTGTTTGGTACTATCAATGCCTGGCTTGAGACAAAGTAATATTCCAACATCAGGTGTCATATATTGCATGAGAGTGATGGGTTGCTAAGATCATGAGATCGGACAGAGGTGATGAAAATCCAATGTTGAAAAATACCACAAATATAGACAGAGGAGGCCTTCCAGGCAACAAAGGTGGCCTACCAAGGCATCACCCAAGTTCACAGAGCAGGGGAAGCACCTAGCTATGAACTATGGACCAAAGGGTAAATGAGGAGACAGAATGAAGAGCTAAGCTACCACGGCCATATCTAACTCTCTCCTGGTTGCTGGTGCCTCCCTGATGAGTGTTTATCAGCTGTGCAGGGAGGCCCTGCTCACAGGGCTCCTTTCCTCCAGCACTGGGAACTCTTGGGTGTGCATTATTGTTTCCACCTGGCCCTGACATAAACTAAAAACAAACAAAAAAAAGCCCAGTGAATTTACTGAAGAACTCTGGCTCAGTGAATTTGGGCAATGAAATGAAATGAGCCCTAGACTGAATTTTTAAGAGATCATTCAGTTCTTTACATAGCTCAATGTGAACTAATAGATACACTTAACAATGCAAGGTCCCCAATACTTCCATCAGTGGGTTTTTTTGAATAACTTTTTTTCCAAGTCACAATTATTTCAATAAATTTCAGTACCCAAGGAAACCCAGGACCAGAGCAGCAGCATAGACGGGTGATAGACTCCTTTGTATCAGTCCCTCCAAGCTGCTTGATATTTTTTATTTGAGGCAGGGCTATAAAAGGGAGGAAAGAGGGGTGTGATGGATTTTCTCATTTTCCAAGTTCTTTGGCAAAGAAAAAGTAAAACATTGTACTAAGACTATATATTAGCATTTTACTAGACACATTTTATTTTATGAAGAATAGTGAACTTGTAGCAAACCCACATTTCCAAGATTAAACATGTGGATGAAAGTGAAAACAATTCTGGATTGTGGTTTACATCGTTTTGTTGGAATTTTTACATTAAAAAAATCTGCTTGATTTGATTATCAGCAAAAAATCTGATGTTAACAGGAATTTGTGACTTATTTTAAAACCTCTTAGGGATTAAGGAGGTTCTACTTAAGAAATGTAAATCAGAATGCACCATTAGTGTCATGAGCTTTACAGAAGAAACAGGAACTGATCAATTTCAAACTGTTTTGAGAACTTTTCGCAGCAGTTTTCTGAAGAAGAGGGCGGAGGTGAGGGGGTGACAGCAGAGCAATCCCAGGGAACAGCGAGTAGGGTTTGTTCACTGGAGACAGAACAGATTTTTGTGCTCACCACTGCCTGGGAGTATGCACTCTGGGATTTTTTTTTTTAAAGGTCTAAAGCCTGGCAGAAGGAGTATTCAACCTTTCTGCTGCCATAAGGCATCCTGATGGCCTATGTATGGGCCAGGACTCTAACGAGACTAGTGTGGCTGTGGCCAGGCCAAAGGGAGCCACTGTTGCCTCCTGAGCCTCAAAATGCCTTTCCAAACAAGTGTGCAAATAACTATAGGCAGAGAAAAATACGCACAGGTGCTTTGTACTACGGTACATGTTCTTCAAAAGAATGTACACTGAAATGTTTTGGCTACTAGAAACAGTCTGAAGCCACTTTCTTTAGAGTTTCTATGCGAACTTCTGTAGTGCTGTGACTTCTCCTCTAGCAGGTGCACACTTGGCTTAACCTGCAGCTGATGGAAGCCACAAAAGCAGCCCCTAAGGCTTTCAGTACTTGGAGATGAGGGTTGGTGAAGGCCCCCAACCCAAGACACTGCTACCCATGACCCATGCTTTGCAAATAAAGTGGGTGGAAAACACCACAGACTAGGACCAAGGCCTAGGGCAAGGGAGGGGGCAGAAAGCAAGGAGACACACAAGATCCATATTTAGCATCCGAATAGTACTCCTGCCTTGGCTCATTAGTAGAAAGACCACAAAGGGGAGGTCATCTGCTGGTAGAATGTTTAGGGGAAGACCAGAGAGGAATTGTGAGCCTTCTTCTGAGAGGCCCATCCTGGAAGTATTTCCTTGTATGAATGCCTGAAAACATGCAGCATACACATCAAATTCTAAGCAGCAGAGTCATAAGGACCCTGCAGAGCACAGTCAAGAACCAGGAATCAGGAAGCAAAGGTTCTGGACATCCGCTTGGATGTCAGAGCTGCCCAAGACCTTCACCTCCCCAGGGGCCCACCAACTCTCACAGGTATCCAGGGTTGGCTTTTTGGGCCAGTCTAGAGATTCCCATCCCATGGAAGATCAGACATCATCAACTATTAGCTGGTTGGGGGCAAGTGGACTGGAGTCAGAAATGTAACTTTGGCCTAAGAGTGGCGAGGAGACCACCGCCAAGAAGACACAAGGTCTGGAAGGCAAGGTTCTGCAGTCACCAGCAAGAACCATGGGCCTCACTGGCCAAGCACCCAGCACAATACTGGGTGCTCATTGCGACAGGCTGCATCTGGGTGCTTTCCTTAAGATGGAGGGGAGTGGTATGCAAAATATCTCTGAAGGATTTTCACCGGACAGAATGGGATGATTCAGTTATCTGGCCATGTCATTTTCAAAGAGTTGCTTAATCCCTGATTATAAGCAAAGTATTTTTCTACTGTGCAAATATTTTGAGGTCAGATTTAATAACTGACAGTATCACTTTCCATGTGGTCCAGAGGACACACTGTCTTTCACCTACACTGCATAAATGTTTCCACCAAACAGCAAGCATTGGCATCAATGCTTCCCCAGAAGTGCTCTCATGAACACATCCCTCCATTGACATCTGAACCACCGACCAGGCACCTTGGGGGAAGCCCCAATAGCTACTGTGGAATTTTTGTGATTTTGTGCCTGGGACGGGCACCAGGCAGAGAACTACATTTTGTGGCTCCCCAGGGGTGGAAGTCAGCTGCTGGTCTCCTGACCCACCCAGAAATGATGCCTAGTGCTCAGCTGGTGAGTTCCTCTGACGCCAGGCAGAGGAATTATGTGAAGTTGCAGTACCTCTCCTAGGCCCTGAGAGGTGGGAATTACTGTGCCTTACAGACAAGCCCAGAGCCCCTAAGATACCACCACTCACTTTATCTAGCCCCACCCTTCCTGCTATGTGCACTCATATAAGTGTGGCCAAATAGCAGGGAGCCACCTTCAAGTCCAGTGGGTACAATTCATGATTGCAAACAGGAAGCAAGGCCTACACTCCTCACCTGCTGGATCTCCGTGACAGATTAATCTCACAATCAGAGATTCTATAAATTAAGAAAAGCAGACTAAATCTAGTAGATGGCAGACAGGGAGGAATCCAGAGGTTGAAAGAGGCTAGCAGCTCAATTTGAGAGTGTTAGGCAGGCAGCAAATGAAACCAGGTATTTATTTTGCATTTGATTTCAAAAGTCTAAAGGCTGGAGTAAATCCACTCGCCTCTCCTCAGGGATCTTCCTCTGAAATGCGTTAACCTGGATGAGCACGGCTGATTCCTGGTCTTCCAAGGTCTTGGAGACTCACCCACTGGCAGGCCTGGAGCCACAGCAAACTCAGAAGAAGGCCACAGGTACAGTCTCAGCGGCATCAGACACAGTTTGGGCTGATTCCTGAGGTGTCTCTCCTGTCTCTCAGAACAGAGAGAATCTGGTGCAGATAAGCCGCTACTGGCTCACGATCACACGACCACTGCAGGAACACCAGCAGCAGCTGCTTCAGGCTCCAGCCAGTTTCCTCTGGACAGCATGTGAGAATGGGCCCCCTGTTTTTTTGTTTGCTTTTATTTTTATCATTCAGATCTAGCTTCAAAGGGCTCTGAAATGTCCTTGCCACATCTGGACCTGAAAGCAAGAGCTGATTTTTAAGAACCAGATTCTCACTGCATTTGGACAGAATGAATAATGTGTCTTTCATATTTTCTTTGTATTTCTCTTCAATAGTTGCTTGACCCAACATCTTTCTGTCTGCTCTATACAATGAAAATGCAAACTAAATGAGAATAGAAAAAATAATTAAAGCATTAAATTGTACAAATTACAAATCTGTTCCAAAATATACTTACATTAAATAAAATACGCATTTCAATAAGAGATCTACAGTGAATGACTATGCATTCTGGGAAGCTTCACAACATCTAGGAAGGGCCAACATTGTGGAAGAAGCTAAGAGAATTTGCATCCAATCACAGTTTGTAGCAGGTTTCTTATTGCCAATCTGCGAGTTACACTGAACACATCATTAGCATCACTTGTGCAGAAAACCAATTTTGTCTGGGAAAAGGGTAAGCAAGCTCTAGCCTCAATTTTTAGTTCATTACAACTTCTCAAGAATTTCACCAACAGCCTATACAGTACAATTTTTAAAAAGTAAACATATTAAGGTAAGCAGACAACTCTTTAGAAGCCCAAAGACATTTTCTTGCTGTATTTATGTTGAATTCTCCATCTACAGAGGGCGTCATGAAGATGGTCTTCTTCAGGACAATATGGTCACAGGACTGGGACAATCCAGTAAGACTGAGAGGGAGCATAAGGACAGGGGAAGGGGGCTACCTCTTGCTGTTTCACGTTAGAGACAAACTGTAATGCATAGTCCATGGGCCTGCAATCTTCTCCTTTTATCATCTGGCATAACGTTTGATGTAGTCATCCACTTTATTCCTGAAGTCCTCCTGTGGAGAGGGATCAGGGAGAGACGGAAGAACAGGAGGAGTGAGTGAGCGAGCGTGAGGCAGCACTTCAGAGATACGTCAGATTCACCAACGCCATGGTCCCGTGTGGAGAGGTAGAAAGACCAGTGTGGTAGAAAGATCGGAGACCTTTCTAAGTCTGAGCGTCATTTCTCCATGATTATGGTGCCTACTGTGTGCAAGACCCTGTGCTGGGTGTGCTGAGGATGGACGCACAAACACAGAAGGTCTGAGTGGAAGGGATCCTCAGGGAGCATCTTATCTATCCCCTTCATTTTCCAGATGCAGAAAGTAAAGCCCAGAAAAGTGTGGGCAAGTTCACAAAGCCAAGACTCCTGTGACTACAAATGGGTATGAGTCATAGCTGCTGCTCTCAGGAAAGGCCTTGTTTCTAGATCTGTCTTCTCAGAATGCCTTCTCTGGACCTTGCTGCCCATTTAAAATGTGCCCACTCTTCATGGCCCACGCATAGCTCTCCTCTTCAGGGTTTCCAACCTGCCTGGATGAGAGGTGGGTATACTGTAGGGCTCCATTCTCACTCACTGAAAAGTGGTTGGCCAGGTGACCAAGGGTTATATGGACCTAGGAGTTACCCCAGGCCAGTATGGGTAGGACAGTCTTCTCTTTTTTTTTTTTTTTTAAAGTCAGAGTCTCACTCTGTCACCCAGGTTGGAGTGCAGTGGCGTGCTCATGGCCACCACAACCTCGACCTACAGGACTCAGGCGATCTTTCCACCTCAGCCTTCCAAGTAGCTGAAACACAGGCATGCTTCACCATGCCTGGCTAATTTTTTTTATTTATTATAGAGACGAGGTCTCTCCAAGCTGCCCAGGCTGACCTTAAAGCCCTGGGCTGAGGCAATCCTCTCACCTCCACCTCCCAAAGTGCTGGGATTACAGGAATGAGCCACGGTGTCTGGCCAGGACAGCCTTTTCAGAGCTGGGTCACCACCCCAGGTTAGTCCCCAGGTCTGTTCTCCCCAAGGTTAGGAGGAAAATCTTGTGGAATTGTATAAGCTGGGAGAGTGACTTGAAGCGCTTAAACCTATTATTCCTATAACACAGCTGGTGGGTTTCTGATGCCCCCACAGGGTCACACTGCTTCGCTCCCATCAATGCCATGTGGCCTCCACTGCATGGAGAATCAGCAGTTGTCACAATACTTAGCAGGCATCAGTTGAATTTCTTTGGCTACACCTTAGTCTTGGGGAATAGGCCTATGTTCTGATTCCACTCCATTCTGATTCCACTCCATACTACCCACACCCAGCAAAGTGCAGGGTACACCCCGGCACTCTATATACAACAGTGCTATGTGGGGCAATGTCCTCTCGCAGGCAAGCCCTTGTCTAGAGCACTGCCCTGACCTACTAGGCACCGGGCTCCTGCCCTCCTGCCACATCCTTAATTAGTATAGTAACCCTTTTCAGGATGGGTAAGTTCCCAGATGGATGCTATGGAAACGGTGCCATGACTTGCTCCTGTCTCAGGGTGGGAAAGCAGAGAGCTCTGATTTTGCCCAGGTGGCTCTGCCTGCTGACTCCCTGCACCTGACCACAGGATTGGACTCGGAGCCTCCCACACTGGCCTTTACCCTGCAACAAAGGGGGCTGTACAGAAACTGGCTGGCCTCTCGCAAAAACCTTCTCAAAATCATTTCCACATTCCCCAAAGCCAGATAATACCTGCAGCTCATAATACTGCAAAAGCTTAAAGAATATGAAGACTTCAAAAATGCCCCTTCTTTGTCCTATGTCTTGCCCCCAGGACAAAAATACTACATGTGCTCTATACTAGTTCCTCTGCTCATCATACCCAAAATAAAGCTGAACATCCATGCTTGCAGTTGGCCCCATGCTCTGGTCTCTGCTGCCTCCCTCCTCTTTTCCTACCTCAGGGACCTCAGAGCACAGGGCCCAAGGGAAGACCATGGACTCTGAAGCCAGACTGCTTGGGTTCAAATCCCGGACTCTGTCCCCTAGTGGTTGGGTAATCAAGGCAAGTCTCAACTTTTTTTTTTTTGAGTTGGAGTCTCACTCTGGTCACCCAGACTGGAGTGCAGTGGCCGCTCCCGGCCACCGCAGCTTCAACCTGCTGGGCTCCGGCGATCCTTCCGCCTCAGCCTTCTGAGTAGCCAGAATTACAGGCATGCGCTACCACGCCCGGCTGATTTTTTTGATTTATTGTGGAGATGAGGTCTCGCCAAGTTGCCCAGGTGGGTCTCAAACCCGCGGGCTCAGGCAATCCACTCACCTCAGCCCCCCAAAGTGTGGGAGTACAGACTGAGTTACCAAGCCCGGCTAAGTCTCAACTTCTTGGTGGCCGTGTTCTTAGCAACAAAACAGGAATAGTAACAGTACTATCCCTGAAGTGAGACCCAATTGCATTCTGTGCCAAGCACTTGAAATAGTGTCCAGCACCTACTATTCTATCCCTGCTGTCTGCGCCAGTCACATTGGCCTATTTCTTCTGCCCTGAGCTCCCCAGGCATGTTCCTACCACAGGACCTTTGGACTATCTGTTGACACTCTCTGGAGTACTCTTCCCCCACCACCTGGCACTCCCTGGCCCCTTTCATAAGGCATGTGCTATGTCTGATCATCTATGCTGGGCCTCTTCCCTACTAGAATGCATACTCCACAGGGACAGAGACAGAAACTGCCATTCCCACAGTACTAAGAGGTGAGCTCTTAGTACCTCACCTGACACACAAGTGGCCACCAATCACACCTGTGATGAACAAATGGATATATGCTAAATCAAATGAAAGTTTCAATAACTGTGATCTTCAGTTGGCATAAAGTCATGGGTGGGGCTAGAGCACTTATACTTTTTCCTTCCCAGTGGGTCTTAATACTTTGCGCTTCTAGATAAATAGTCTTCTTTTTTTTTTTGAGTTGGAGTCTCACTCTGTCACCCAGACTGGAGTGCAGTGGCTACTCCCGGCCACCGCAGCCTTGACCTGCTGGGCTCCAGAGATCCTTCCACCTCAGCCTTCCAAGTAGCTGGAACTACAGGCGCGTGCTACCACGCCTGGCTGATTTTTTATTTATTGTAGAGATGAGGTCTCGCCAAGTCGCCCAGGCAGGTCACGAAAATAGTCTTCTTAAACAGGGGTTTTATTGGAAGCACCTCAAACCCATTTGTAAATAGGCAAGATAGAAGCATGGTCTAGCGGAGATTGTGGTTACTAGGACTGAGTTGTGCCCCTAAAATTTCAAAAGTAACTGACCAAAGAGTCATATCCCCAATCAAAAAAGATCTCCTAAAATTCAAAGAAAAATAATCTAATATAAGAATGACTCAGCCAGGCTCAGTGGCTCAGCCTGTAATCCCATGCCTTTGGGAGGCTGAGGTGAGTGAATTGCCTGAGCCTGCGGGTTCGAGACCCACCTGGGCAGCGAGACCTCATCTTTACAATAAATAAAAAATCAGCCGGGCGTGGTGGCGCATGCCTGTAATTCCGGCTACTCGGAAGGCTGAGGCGGAAGGATCGCTGGAGCCCAGCAGGCCGAGGCTGCGGTGGCCGGGAGCGGCCACTGCACTCCAGTCTGGGCGACAGAGTGAGACTCCAACTCAAAAAAAAAAAAAAAAAAAGAATGATTCAAAGCTAAGAACAAGTAATTTAAAAATGCAAACAGCTAATATACGTGAATATAAAAAGACACCCAACCTCTCTAAAAGTTCAGAAAGCAGAGTATACTGCAGAGCGTTCAGAGAAACAGATGCCTGCCTGCCTGCACTGCATTTAGTGGGCACAGGCACTGCTACAGCCGCACGGAAAAACAAAAGCTATTCAAATTAAGACAAAATCTTTGACTTAGTAATCCCAGTTCTAGAACTCTCTTATGTCGAAATAAAAGCACCAATATTTAAGGATATGTGTACAAGATATATTTATTGCATCATTACTTGTGTTGGGAAAAAAAATCCCATAAGAAAAAACTTGAATGCCCCCCAAGAAGAGAATAGTTTTAAAAAGTGTGATAGAGCCACTTTATGGAATACAATGTGGCTCCTGAAATAAATGAGTGGCAATCTATGCATTGAGTTGGAAGAAAAAAGTTAAAAAAAAAAAAAAAGGAATTAAAGATTAAGAGTAATGATGCCAGGCACAGTGGCTCATGCCTGTAATCCCAGCACTTTGGGAGGCTGAGGTGAGAGAACTGCTTGAGCCTAGGAGTTCGAGACCAGCCTGGGTAATATAACAAGATCCTATCTCTACAAAACATCAAAAAATTATGTGGGCAAGGTGGTACATGCCTATAGTCCCAACTACTTGGAAGGCTGAAGTGGGAGGATCGTATGAGCCCAGGAGGTCAAGGTTACGGTGAGCCATGATGGTGACACTGCATTCCAGACTGATAGAGTGATAGAGTGAGATCCAAAGTAAAAATAAATAAATAAATATTAAGAGTAATGAATAGGATCTCATTATTTTGAGTCAAAATCAAAACCAAATGTGCATGCATATGAATGAGCTCAGCAAAAGGTATGGAAGGCCCCTGGAAGCCAGGAGGGCGCTGGCAATGCCATACATTCTCCTTCTATGTGCCTATACTGTTAAGGAGGTAAAGAAGTCAGGTGTGGTGGCTCACACCTGTAATCCCGCACTTTGGGAGGCTGAGGCGAGAGCATTGCCTGAGCCAACGGGTTTGAAAACAGCCTGGGCAACATGGCAAGATCTTGTCTCCACAATAAATAAAACAATTAGCTGGGTGTGGTGGCACACACCAGTAGTTCCAGCTACTTGGAAGGATGAGGTGGAAGGATTGCCTGAGCCCAGCAGGTTGAGGTTGTGGAGGCAGTGAGTATGCAACTGCACTCCAACCTGGGTGACAGAGTGAGATTCCAACTCAAAACAAAACAAAAACAAAAAGAAGGAATAGGAATAATCGCCTGTTTTAAATTACTCATACTGAAGTCTACTAGGAAATCACATTTCTTAAAAACCACTTCTCCCTGACCTTGGGTAAAACACCTTTGTGAGATCACATAAATTTATTATAACCTGTTATTTATAAATCACTTCAAGTTTCAGCCACGCATTCTACCACTCTCAATTTCTTCTTACTCACTCACCTTGTCCCGCAAATGATGTTCTGCAGCTTCAATATTCAGAGGATCATCAAAATTCAAAAGATCCTTAAAAAGAGAGAAATACAAAGTAAACATTGGAAATAACCTTTTTTATGTTGTTAAAGTTGCATTTTATGAAGTGCAGCAGAAGTCTAATTAGCAAATTTCAGACCAACCTCGAGAGCTGAGAATTCTATTAACAACCCAAAGTCTTTTGACATAGGGTACTGCACATGTGGGTATTTTTTCAAAATGGTGATTGGAAATTGACTGGAAAAAGTCAGGGATACATTACATATAATTGTCCAAAGTTTGGTGAAAATGGAGGAAATAGCATTCATATTAATTTCTTTTTTTATCATATTAATGTCTAATATCATTAGACATTACATATACATATGTTTTTGATAACTGGAAAATGAAAACCACTCTTATTATAAGCATTTCTGAATAAAAATCCCATTATTTTTCATAAAAATTAATTTTCCTGTTTTAATTTATTTTGTGGTTAATAACTTTGCCTTTGTGAGCCTATGATTTCTATTTGGGCCTCTAATGGATTTTCCTTTCATCTTCTGACTCAGCTTTACAAGCATCCCACTCATAGCCAGTAGGGTCAACATATAACCTGACCAAATGCAGGGCAGTGACACTAAGCTGTTATCTCTGGCCTCAGGAGACAGTGTCAGACTCTTTCTACCTTAGAAAAGCATTGGAGGTGGTTTTTATTTTTGAAAAACTCGCCCATAGCAGTTCTTTCTGCCATAAATCTTCCTTTATCCTTCTCTTATTCTCACTGTTTTAAAAACTTTTAAAAAGAAAAAAAAAAAACACCATTGGAATGGGCCAGGTGTGGCAGCTCATGCCTATAATCCTAGTGCCTTGGGAGGCTTAAGGAGGAGGATAGCTTGAGACATGGAGTTTGAGAACTCATCTCTACAAAAAATTTTAAAAATTAGCTGGGTGTGGTGGTACAACTGTATTCCTGCTTACTTGGGAGGCTGAAGAATGAGGATCACTTGAGCCCAGGAGTTTGAGGCTACAGTAAGCTATGATTGTGCTACTGCACCCCAGCCTAGCCAATAGAGTGAGACTGTCTCTTAAAAAAAAAAAATTAAGTGTTGAAATGGCTCTTCCTTTGCCACCCTCTACAAAAATCACCCTGAACTTCAGACAGAGACCATTCCTTATCTTTATACTGCCCATCCCTCTTCTTGAAAGTCAGGGTAGTAAGATTTGTTATTGTGATGAGTCACTGCTTTCCAAAGCATCCCATATGATGGCTCATTGTCAAGACAACCACATTTTTCTTCAAGAATTACATTAAATTTGGGGACTGTGTTCCTGATTTGGAGATAAATATGTCTGTGATGAATAATGATAATGATAGCAAAGAAAAATTATATAAATCTCTATGTTCATTTGCATTGGAAAATTAGATTCCAAGTCCTAGAAAGAGGGAAAAATATGAAGTACATGTTATATGAAATACCCAGTACATATGAAGATGACACCCAACACACAAAGTTCCTTATCTTCTTTACTTAACGTATGTTTGACCTAAAATGAATATATTGTTCAGAATAACCATTACAGACTTAATGTGCAATTGTGATTGGCTCTTTAGAATTTGGAAGGTTTGGTCCCCTTGGAAATAGAGAGCTAAAGTGGTTGTACTAGATTTCTTATTTTATTTTATTTTTTTAAAAAGTCCAAGGAGCCAATGTTTATTTCCTACTATTAATTCCCCTGTAACAGTCAACGAAACTGGAGCAGATATTAGGGGTTCCAAAAAGTAACCATCATGGTGGCTGATAACGAAGATGTGTGGGCCCGAGAAGGGCCTGAGTTAGCAACTGTCATCTTGGCTCTCTCAGTCAAAACTGGAGATGCTAAGGCTCAATGTTACAATGACGCATAATCACTAGGCAGATTTTAAATCATGTTCAGCCTTCAAGGCTCTAGAAGTAAAGCTTCATTCACTTCAGTGAAAAGCCAAAAACCAAATCAGAACAAAGTGACTGAGACCAGTGGAAAACTGTCTGGATGGCTTGAGTCCAGGTCTCCATCAGGTATTGCTTTCCCATGGAGATTCTGAAAGATCCTGAAATCACTGAAGTGTTTGGTTTCTTTGCTTGTGTTACAGGTGTCCACCCAGTAACATCATTTGAGAAGGCAGGGACAGAGTTTAATTTGAGGCTATGCTATTTTTTCTTTTCTGAAGACAAGAACAAGAATACTGTGCCCTCAAACGACAGAATGAGGAAGAGCAGACCCGCCTGCAGTGATACTGAGTTGTGCAGGTGCATCTACTATAGGCCATATCCAGTGCCCTATAAGACACTGGTCAGGAAACCACCCCTGAATCAGCCCACTGGTCTTGGCAGAATATCCAAGATGGGTTCATTTTCATGGAGGCACCTTAGGCTTTACTGAAAGTAGCAAAACCCTTTTCAGAGGCAGATCTCTGAAGTTTATTTCTTTAAAAGTTATTTTATGAAACAAAAAGTAAAAATTCAAAAGAATTAATAATACTATATTAAAAAATCCAACCGACAGTTTTTAGCTATGTCCTTTTAGTTTCTTCAGGCCCCTAAGCCATACACTGTTTCTGATAATGGTAACCTTCAGCTGCTCATTGCTGATAGTAAGAGAACAACTCTAAGTTTTCAGTCTTGTGGAACGCCTTCTAGACTAGGTGACCATGTAGTCATCCATCCAAACCAGGATACCTGGGAGCAGATAGGGCCACTGGCTGGTGAGATGATATAGGCACGAACGGAGACTGGGCCAGGTGAACCTAAAGAAACAGCCACCCCTTGCTGGAGGATACTAAAGCAAATGTAACTGGCCTTACTGCCAGAAGGCAGAGGCAGCTACCTCGGCAGGACCCAAAGTGGAGCTGCTGTGACCCCTGCCCATGACGACCTTCCTAGGTGTCAATCCAAAGGCCCCTCAGTCCCCATCTCACTGTTCTACTTCTGTCTCATAAAAGAACAACAGAGAAGAAAGGTATGTACATGTTTTGTTTAACATGTTTTGTGTTATCCTTAAGGTGACATTTAAAACTAGCCATTAGGGAAATCGAGAAAAACTTGGGGTTTCGATCAATATACTTACAGTAAACAAAGAGTTTAATCCCCAAACAACATCCTGAAATAAGAAAGCAGAAAACAAGTTTCAAGCTACTGTGTACCTAAAGCCTTTTAAACCCATGACCAAGAAATATGCATCATACCAAATTAACCTGTCTTCAGCATGTCTTGTTTTTCTCAACACAAAAAATTAAAACAATCTCTCTCCAAGTGCAACAACAAACTCTGGGAAATTCAAAGAGATGAGCGGTCACAGATGATGAATATCAAATTAAAGAGACTATTAACCACCCTCTCGCTTAGACCTAGGGTCCAAAGAGACTAATCCCACACCATGGCAGAGCCCATAGGTGGGCATTCACCCAGAGAGTGCCATCTTTAACCACTTCTTACCAGGCATCACCAAATATGGTTTGGACTTCTAAGTCACCTTTAAAATAAAATCTGTTGTTTTTTACTCCGCCTGAGACTTCAGAATAAAAAAATTAAATTTTTTTTAAAAAAAGCCTGTTGTTTTTAACATCTAATGCCTCTTGGGGTCATAGATAAGCTAATTACCACCAACACCCCCCACCCCAGTCCTACTGCGTCTTCTCAATAGTTTTGCCTTTGCTGCTTCAAGAATCAAGGGAGACTTAACACTTCAAGGGTCAGATATTTTCATTAAAATGAACTTGAAAACCAGTATTGTTCTGCCTGTACTTACTCATTATCTGTAGCTCAATCACAATTCATTTTCTGCCTTCCTGTTCATCAGTTCAAGAGTCTTGTCCTTTTTTAGGGCTGTTCTCATGCTCATCCTGTACTCTGTGCTTGCTGATAATTTTATTTGCCCTTCTCTGCTTTCTCTCATACAACAATCTATTCACCCCACCCATTCCTGACCTTCTGGTGTGACCTGGGCCTAGGACTGGAGCTGGGGGGTGAAGACAACCCCTCAGTCTGGTAGACGGGTTAAGACAGGCAGGCAGGCAGGTCAGGAGGCCAGCACCGTCCATGAAGAGTGTTCCCCAGAGCACACATTCTGGGAGGAGAGGCTCCACAGAGGAAGTGGTAGCCATCTGACTGGAACTCAGAGGAGTAGGAGTCAGCCAGGGAGAAGGCTGGAGGAAGGGAGCACTTTCCAGGTAGAGGAAAGGAGCACCTTCCAAAGAGTACCTTCCAGGCCTGTGCAGATGCTAAGCCCTGAGAGGGCAGGACACGTCTAGGGTGTGGAGAGAAGCTGGAGCACAACAGCAGAGACCATAGCTGGGTAGGGACTACACTAAGTCTGCAGTATTCTCTGATGCTGAACCAGGGCTGAAACCTTTCTGTGCTGTTCCCCCAGAGTCCCTCCTTGGTGGCAGATACCCAACACCTGGCTGTCCTCTCTGATCAGAGGAAGTCAAGGGTCTGCAAGTCAGTTTGCAGCTCTCTTTCCATGGCACCTAGCGGCCAAAAGGGCTCAAGACACCCCTGATGGATGAATGGTGGCTCTGAGGTTTCCTACAGTAGAGAGTGGTTTGGCTCTGAAGCCTGCAGTTCGGCCTCCTGTCTCTGGTTCTGGAATAGTGCCTAGCAATGGCTGATAAGGATGCTCATCTGACCCAAACTGATGGGGTCAGTGACCGGCTGAACAGTCCCAGGAAATGGGTGGTGCGGAGAGGTGGGAGCAGGGTATGCCTGGTCACTAGTGTGGATGCCATAGGCAAGGACATGTGCAGCTCTTTCAGAAGGCTGGCCACACAAGGAAGACAATTGTAGGGAAGGACCTGTAATCAAGAGGCACGGACTCTACCTTTAACGTTCTCGTGGGAGCCCAGCCAGTGCCGTCAATTGAATGTTCTCTCAGTAAACTGAAAAAGACAAACAAACATACAACAGTGAGTGAGGAGCAGCAACAGGTGTGCCACACACACTGCCAATAAGTCTTCTTGGTGTGAGTTTTGACTTTATGCCACACAGAAGAGCTACTTTTTATGTAATCTGTCTTTTCCTCTGTGGCTTCTCAGTTTTCTCTTGCCAGAGGAAGGCCTTCTCTGCCTTCAAGGTTATATACATATTCAATTATAATGTCTTGTGTTGTTTTTATCTGTTTACTGTACACAGAGGTCTTTAATCCTTGACTTGGCAGTTTTAAGCAGGGGAAAAGCATGATTAGAACAACACACAAAGAACATTTGTCAATTTAATATTCAGAAAATGACAATGGCAACAAAGATGACAACAGGAATAACTGAGGCTTAGAGCTTCCTATGTGTATGTCAGGTACAATCCTAGGTGCTGTGTCATTAAACTCACTTCATGCCTACAACCATTGGTGAAGGAAGTACCACCACTTCCCTCTCTTATAGAGAAAGAAACTCAGGCACAGAGAAGACATGCCCAAGGGCACACACTTGGTGACAGTGTGTTCTTCCAGCCCAGGCAGCTCACCCGGAGCCAGCATTCTGAATCACGGCTAATGCAGGTTAACAACAATGCAAGCTCCTGGCATACAACATTTTAATAGCTGGTTTTTTTTTAAGTTCAAGGAACAAAACTTAAGGACAAAAGCAGATTAACACAAAATGCTGGGAATCAGTTACTCCTTGGGTGGGAGCCCCATGCTCAGGGAAGGCGCACCTGGGCTTCAGAGGTATTTCATTATTGTCTATCAACTGTATGCACATTATACACTCTCACATAAATGATTATTCTATACTTCAAAAAATTACAACTTATTGGCAAACTTCCTTCTTGAGATAAAATTTATTTTTGGAATTTGTTAAATTATTTTATTGTGCTGTGGCTCTGATCTGTATATAAAAGTCCCTAAGCTGACATGTCAATATCAGGCTTTATAGGTCATAACTGTTACATGTGACAAATTTTTTTGAATTATAAAATGCTGAAATTCGTATATGTCAATTTATCAGAAAATAAAAATATGTAGAATCTGAATCAAAGCTATAATCTTCATTGCCTATGAAGATCAGTTAAAAGGTATGTAACTAACCTTAAGTTGACCATTTTGAGCGTTAAGAAAAAAAAAAGGAAAGCTCAGATTATGCACCCCACAAACTAGGTGGAGGAGATCTTTCTGTCCTACAGAGGTATCAGTGACTTGTGGACCTGAAGCTTTCATGACTTTCAAAAACTTTTGAAAAACTTTTTGGGAATCGTCTGTCAAATCTTTGTGGATTTTATGATCCAATGAGAGATTTTGTTATTAGAATAGAAGAATTATTTCTGACATAGCTCATCCTCTTTTTTAAAATAGAATGTAATGCAATCTTATTAGTTATATACTTGTTATTTACTTGTCTAATGCCTGTCTCACCCACAGACAGCAAACACCATAAAAGCAGGAAATGCAAATTGTTTTCCACGGTGCTTGGACTCAATCAATATCAGCTGATTGAAGGAAGGGAAGATTGAAACTTGGCTTAATTAGTTGACATGTCAGCATCCTCCTGAACTTCACTGTCAACATCACAGCCAGAGGAAGTGACCTTTGCACCTGGAGGCAGGTAACTGGGAAACCTCTGGACCATTGGGGGTGCAACGTCCCCAGTCACTGTGGAAATTTTAGCGTGGCCTCAGCAGAGGGTAGTCTCAATCCCCCATCAGGAGCTCAGGCGACAGAGACACTTGGCCATCAGAGATATTATTAAGAAGGAGACACAGGCTATCCCAGGAACTATACTGAAGCTTGGACTTTAGGAGAAAAGGATGAAGTGCAACCACTGATCTCCTGACCTCGAGCCCTCCAAACCCATAGACATGGAGCCTCTGACCCTGCACCAGAGCACTGTGAGGGCACCTGCTGAAACCAAGCAGCCCTGGGAGTGAGGCATGGAAGGACGACAGGGCAGAGAGCCAGAGCAAATATCTCTCTAAAAGGGAAGTGCTCCTGTGGGCTAGGAATGAAAGTACACTCCATGGAGCACCAGGCATCAGTGAGACCTACTGTGGGAAGAGCCCAATTAAAGGCTGCCATGTGGTTACCATAGGCGTGGCTGGGCTTCTCCTTCCCTGTATTCAGGACACAACATGAATCAGCTGTGCCTGAAGCCACCACTCGTCACTATCTGCTTTTCACCAATACAGTGGTTGGTCCTTGTACATAAGTCTGGCACATTATTTCCTTAGATTACATTCCCAAAAGTGCAGCTGACAAGCTCAAGGGTAAAAACAAGTTAAAGGTAGACCAATAAAAGGTGTACAAATATACATACCCTCCAGTGACGAAAAAGCCTGCTCTGTGCCACACACACACACACACACACACAAAATCATGTATCTGCCAACATAAGTGTTAAGCCTGTGGTTTTCTGAGCCTTTTCCTGGTTACCAATGAGACTGAAAATCTACTCAGATATTTATTGACTACCTATATTTCTCCATTTATGAATTACCTATTTGTAGCCAATACTGCATTTTTCCAGAGGAAACATCCATCTTTTTTATAATGGTTTGTGAAGACTACTTACATACAATGAATGTTAATCCAATTGATCGCTTCTCCTTCAATTTTATGTTTTTGTATTTTTAATTTTTATGTGGTCAAATCTGACAATATTTTCCTTTAGTTTCTGGCACTTGTATCAGGTTACCATCTGTCAATTCCTGTCATACTTTGGTAATAATCTGACTTCCCAGAAGACAGCAAAAGTGACAAGAGGGCTTCCCAATTCTGGGTGAGGTAGGGGCACAATGGGGAAGCAGAGTGTGGGGAGATGCCCAGAGAGAGAGCCTCTCTCCTCTCACAGAGGAGAGAGCGTATTAAAAAGCCCAATGCTCACACACTATGCTCACAAATGCAGGAGAAAGGAAAGATGAGAAGCTCACCTTAGACATATTTCACCTGTCTCTGTGATGTTGGGGTGCCAGATCCTGGTCAAGCATTTCACTTTGGGAGGCTGCAACACAGAGAGGGAATGAGAAAGATAGCACTGACAGTCTGTCCAAATCATGGCTCCAAAGCCTTGTTCATCACTATTTAGATGCTTGTTTCATGGCTTACTCAACATGTAATCTGACATTCGAGTACAAATTCAACCTCGAGCACTGGCTTGCTTCACCTTCACAGGTGCAAATTTGCACACTGCATCCGTAAGTGCTGGGCTCACTAAGAAAGTCTGCCACGGACCTCAGAGCACCTCTCTACAGGCCCCAATGTCCTGCTGGCTGACGGTGCTGTTGACTGGGCCTCTGCCACCTCCCACACCCGAGTTCAGGTGCAAAGAGGCATCCACAGTACACTCTAGGAAAGAGTTCTGCACCATCCAGGTCCAAACTCCAACCAGGGGCCCCCCAATACTCCTTTGCACTGAAAGTTACTGAACTGAGGCTGAAAGTGATTGTTTCTTGCAAGAACAGTCTATTCCCTTTGCAGGATGTTTCTGAAGTTGCTATTGTAATATACATTTTCCTAGATAAAAGTCTTAGTCCACTTTATACTTAGAGGGAAAAGGAATGAAAATGAGTACCCGGGGATAAGGTATATCAACATCATTTATGACTTGGCATGTTAGGACAGTTCTTTTAAGATTTTTCTATTGTAAAAGCAATTTAAACTCATTTAGGAAAAGAGACAACAAAATTAAAGAAAATATACAGATTTATTAATACATAACATATACCATAATATAATATATAAGTGACATAAAAAATAATATATAATCAAGTATATGTTTCCTTTCACTTTTGTTGTCTTATATGTAAGTACATGTACACACACACACACACACACACACACACACACACACACACACACTCCCTTTCTCCCTCCCTACCCCCCCCTTCCTCCCCATCTTCATCCACTCAGAAGTAACCTCTACTGACACCTGATGGTAATTTTTTGAGCCTCTTTTCTAGACCACACATGTGTACATATAGGTATGCAAGCACATTTGTTTTTCTTTAGAGCAGACAGTTATGCTGTTTATTTTTCAGTTACTTCTGCCATCATTTCAGATGGCTTTCCTGCATTCCACAGTACAAACACCTGCATTTATCAAGCCATTTCCTTGCCTCTGGACATTTAGGGTGCTTCCCACTTCTCCAAGCCCTACTGTACCAATGCCCATATCTTTGCTCAAAGCCTGTATGAAAAACTTCCTCAGGATGCCACCATAGAAGAGAAACTGCTGGTCCAGTGCCAGACTCCTTCAGAAGGCGGTGATGCACCCTCACCTGCATCATGGGAGAGAGCCCTTGCTCCAGGTCTTCTCTCACAGTGAGGTCTCCTTGGTTGATGTGCAGTGTTATCTCTCAGAATCTCATCAGAAATGTCATATCAAAAAGCAATCAACCCTTTGTCAAATGGGTGTAACATTTTCCTGGTTTATCATTTGCTATTAATTTTTATTTCTGATGTGCCCTGAAGAGTGGAAGGTTTTATCTTTGTAATCAACTTTTTCTCTTTGATACCATACTTAGAAAATATTTTAGCCGGGCACAGGGGCTCAAGCCTGTAATCCCAGCACTTTTGGAGGCCGAGGCAAGAGGACTGCCTGAGCTCAGGGGTTCGAGACCAGCCTGGGCAACTTGGTGAGACTTCGTCTCTACAATAAATCAAAAAATAAGCCGGGTGTAGCGGCGTGTGCCTGTAGTTCTGGCTACTTGGGAGGCTGAGGTGGAAGGATTGCCTGAGCACAGCAGGTCGAGGCTGTAGTAGCTGTCAGCGTGCCACTGTACTCCAGCCTGGGCAACTGAGTGAGGCTCCAACTCAAAAAAGAAAGTATTTCATCATCTAAACATTCTCCTGTAATCTTCTAGTACTTTCATAGCTCCACTTTTTTATTTGTATAAAACATACTTTTTCAGCACCCTAATGAATTTTCTTCCTGATTTCTTTCTTTTTTTATTTTGAGTTGGAGTCTCACTCTGTCGCCCAGGCTGGAGTGCAGTGGCATGCTCACCACCATCCCAGCATCGACCTGCTGGTCTCTGGTGATTCTTCCACCTCAGCCTTCCAAGTAGCTGGAACGATAGGCACATGATTCCCACGCCCAGCTAATTTTTTGGATTTATTGCAGAGACAAGGCTGGTCTCGAACCCATGGGCTCAGGTAATCCTCTCACCTCGGCCTCCCAAAGTGCTGGGATTACATGCTTAAGCGACCATGCCAGGCCTTCTTCCTATTTCGAAACACCACAAAATCAATAGACTTCCAAAAAAAAAAAAATTAAACTGACTGTCCAAATGCATGTGTCTGAGGACTGAAAAATTTAGTTTAAATGCATTTTCATATGCTTTGATGTGGTTTTCTGCAAATAAGTGGAAGTACATTTGACAGAAAGAAGTGATAGCATCCTTCACTTCCAATGAGGCACTTAGACTGCAGAGGGAAGCTCAGACTGCTACCAGGGGCAGGGCTGTGTGCACTCCTCTAAGTCACAAGACAGAGTAGCAGTCTAGTGTCAGACTGAATCACTAACTCTTAACATCTGAAGGAACCTAGAAGAATGGCAAGCTCACTCTCCCTCTCAGTCAGGGTGCCTCTTCTATGGAGGCCCAATACATGACTATCCAGTCTAGTGTTACTACATCTCCCAAGAATTTGGGGTATTTGCCCTTTCTCCTCTCATCCCTTCACACCTTCTATAGTTAGAAGCTAACACAGAGCCGGGCTCGGTGGCTCAGCCTGTAATCCCACGCCTTTGGGAGGCTGAAGTGAGTGGACTGCCTGAGCCCACGGGTTCAAGACCCACCTGGGCAACTTGGCGAGACCTCATCTCTACAATAAATAAAAAATTAGCTGGGCGTGGTAGTGCGCGCCTGTAGTTCCGCCTCCTTGGAAGGCTGAGGCGGAAAGATCGCCAGAGCCCAGCAGGTCAAGACTGCACTGCACTCCAGTCTGAGCAACAGAGTGAGACTCCAACTCAAATTAAAAAAAAGAAAAAAAAGAAAAGAAGCTAACAAAGGTGCCTCCTTTATCAATGTTCCTTTCAGCTATGATCCCAGAACAGAAAGTACAACTCTGCACCCACTTCTGGCACACACACTTTCCAAACAATTTCTCTTGTATCCTACCCCTCTTCCCCCTCGATGTTTGGCACAGCCACCCACCCACTCACATGGCTAAAAGTCTAATCTATGACAAATGCTGCATTTCAAATCGATGGGGAAGTGGATTATTGAGTAGACCACAGGCTACCCATTTGGAAAAATAAAGGTAGATCCCCACTTACAGCTTTATCCCAAATGCACTAAAACTAAACATAAAAGACAGAGAAATAAAAGAGGACTAGAAGGAAATGTAGATGATCATCTTGGAGTCTGAAGCTTGCTTTAAGCATTTCATAACATAAAAAAATCCATGAAGACAATGACTCAACACAAAAACTTTTATAGAACAAAAGATGACGAATGTAAAACAAAGAAAATATCTATAGTATGGCTGAGAAACTAAGAAAAATGTCTCACTGCTTTAAATATAAGAACTCTTATAAATGTAGAAGAAAAACAAACACCACAACAGAAAAATGAGCAAAGGACATAATAATGGTTCAAAAAATATACAAATCACTAATAAGTAGGAAATAATATCCAGCATCATATTTAAGAAATGAAAATTCAAATGGTAATTAGATATCAAATGAGATATCACTTCTTTTCAAAATAGTAAAAAGAAAAAAGAATGAAACTACTCTATCTTGCTGAGAGATTAAGAAAAGGGAATTATCAAACACTGATGGTGAAAACGCCAACTGACATTCCTCTCTGAAGGTGAGTTAATAGGATTTATCAAGAGCCTTAAAATGGAGCATCAATTACTCAATACCCAGGCACCCCCTTTGGGTCCCCTCCCACTGTGGGAGCTTTTCTGTGCTCTCAATAAATCCTGTTAAAAAAAAATTACTCAATGCCCTTAATGCCACTTGTGAGAATTTAGCCAAATGGAAAAAGGCAGACAGACATGAAATGTGTGTCCTGGATGCACCTCACAGCCCTGTTTATTCCAGGGGCAGCAAAACACAGCCCACAGACCAAAGCCAGGCCAGGCCTATCTTCACATGCTCAAAGATTGGTTTTTACTTTTTTTTTTTTTTGAGTTGGAGTCTCACTGTCGCCCAGACTGGAGTGCAGTGGCCGCTTCCGGCCACCGCAGCCTCAACATGCTGGGCTCCAGCGATCCTTCCACCTCAGCCTTCCAAGTAGCTGGAACTACAGGCACATGCTACCATGCCCGGCTAATTTTTCTGATTTATTGTAGAGATGAGGTCTCGCCTGCCCAGGCGGGTCTCGAACCCGCGGGCTCAGGCAATCCACTCACCTCAGTCTCTCAAAGGCACGGGATTACAGGCTGAGTCACCAAGCCCGGCTGGTTTTTACATTTTTAAAAGGTCATTCAAAAAAGAATATGTGACAGAGATCACATGTGGTCCACAGAGCCAAAAAGATTTATTATTGTCCTTTACAGAAAGTCTGGTTTATATTATCAAGAAATAGGGCTAGTGTTGTTTAAAACCAAGAACAATGAAGTGCTCTTATTAATGATGATGCAATAATATGTTAACTGACATGAGAGCATATGTCCATCATATTATAATGCGAAAACCCCCAAGTTAACAGGCCATGTGTACCATGACTCCATCGGTATGCAGGATTATATACTGTCTGTACCAGACATTAAAAAGTCATGGTGATCATCTCTGGATAGAGATATTATGGGTAATTAACCCTTTGCACTCGGATGTCCCCTGAGAGGGGACATAAAGAGACTGTTAATGATTATACAAGACAAACTTATAGAAGTGCAATTTTTTATTTTTTTGAGTTGAAGTCTCACTCCTTCACCCAGGCTGGAGTGCAGTGGCACACTCACGGCCACCCTGGCGTCGATCTGCTGGGCTCCAGTGATCCTTCTGCCTCAGTCTTCCAAGTAGCCAGAACTACAGATGCGCGCGACCAC